CACATGGATCGGACAGAGACTACTCTTAGAGGAGAGTCCATTGATGGAGATTCTCTAGGTTTTAGTCAGAAAGAGAAGAGGGAAGATGATAAAGTATGGGCCAGATCAGACAAGAAACAATCACATATACAAGAATCTAATACATCAGGGAAGGGCAGACAAATAAACAGTGAAAATTTGTTAAAGTGCTTCTACACAAATGCTAGAAGTCTAAATAAGAAGATGGGTAAACTAGAGTACCTTGTATTAAAGGAAGGGATTGACATAATAGGCATCACAGAAACCTGGTGGAATGCGGACAATTAATGTGACACAATCATACCGGGATATAAAATATATCGGAAGGACAGAGTAGGTTGTGCGGGTGGCAGAGTGGCACTATATGTGAAAGATAATGTAGACTCAAATGAAGTAAAAATCTTAACTCAATCAACATGTTCAATAGAATCGCTATGGATAGTAATTCCATGCTCCAATAATAAGAAATTAGCAGTAGGGATATATTACCGACCACCTGACCAGGACAGCGATACTGACATTGAAATGCTAAGGGAGATTAGAGAGGCTACCAAAATAAAGAACTCTATAATAATGGGGGATTTCAATTATCCTCATATTGACTGGATACATGTCACCTCAGGATGAGATGCAGAGATAAAATTTCTTGATGCCTTAAATGACTGCTTCTTGGAGCAGCTGGTAATGGAACCCACAAGAGGAGAGGCAATTCTCGATTTCATCCTGAGTGGAGTGCAGGATCTGGTCCAGGAGGTAACTATTACAGGACCGCTTGGGAATAGTGACCATAATATAATAACATTTAACATTCCTGTGCTGGGAAGAACACCTCAGCACATTTAATTTAAAAAAGGGGAATTATGCAAAAATGAGGAGGTTAGTTAAACAGAAATTAAAAGGTACAGTGACTAGAGTAAAATCCCTGCAAGCTGCATGGAAACTTTTCAGACACCATAATAGAGGCCCAACTTACATGTATACCCCAAATTTAAAAACATAGTAAGAGACCTAAAAAAGAGCCACCGTGGCTTAACAGCCATGTAAAAGAAGCAGTGAGAGATAAGAAGGCATCTTTTAAAAAGTGGAAGTCCAATCCTAGTGAGGTAAATAGAAAGGAACATAAACACTGCCAAATTAAGTGTAAAAATGTAATAAGAAAAGCCAAAAAAAGATTTTGAGGAACAGCTAGCCAAAAACTCAAAAAGTAATAGCAAAATGTTGAAGTACATTAGAAGCAGGAAGCCTGCTAAAAAGCCACAGGGACCCTTGGACGATCGAGATACAAAGCAATCAAGGACAATAAAGCCATTGCGGAGAGACTAAATGATTTTTTTGCTTCAGTCTTCACAGCTAAGGATGTTAGGGAGATTCCCAAACCTGCACTGTCCTTTGTGGGTGATGAATCTGAGGAACTGTCCCAGATTGAAGGGTCGTCAGAGGAGGTTTTGGAACAAATTGAAAAACTTAACAGTAACAAATCACCGGGACCAGATGGCATTCACCCAAGGGTTCTGAAGAACTCAAATGTGAAATTGAGAAACTGTGGTTTGTAGCCTATCCTTTAAATCAGCTTCTGTACCCAAAGACTGGAAGACAGCTAACATAACGCCAATATTTAAAAAGGGCTTTAGAGGCGACCCTGGCAATTACAGACCAATAAGTCTAACGTCGAGGAGTGGCCTGAGGCCGACTGCGGCAGCTGGCGCCCCAGGCGGAACGCGCGATCGGCGCCCCTGCCTGCAGGGCTGTCAATGGACTGACGTCATCATCGGGCGCCCCGGCCGCCCCGTGACGTCGTCATCAGGTGCCCCGGGCGGCGGCGCCCTAGGCGGTGGCCGAGTCCGCCTATAACAGGCCGCCCCGCTAGCATCAGTGCCGGGCAAATTAGTTGAAACAATAGTAAAGAATAAAATTGTCAGACATTAGAAGAACATAATTTGTTGGGCAAAAGTCAACATGGTTTCTGTAAAGGGAAATCATGTCTTACTAATCTATTAGAGTTCTTTGAAGGAGTTAACAAACATGTGGACAAGGGGGAATCCAGTAGATATAGCATACTTAGATTTCCAGAAAGCCTTTAACAAGGTCTCTCAGCAAAGGCTCTTGTGTAAATTAGGTTGTCATGGGATAAGAGGGAAGATTCTTTCATGGATTGAGAACTGGTTAAAAGACAGGAAACAAAGGGTAGGAATAAATGGTACATTTTCAGAATGGAGAGGTGTAACTAGTGGTGTTCCCCAAGGGTTAGTCCTAGGATCAATCCTATTCAACTTATTCATAAACGATCTAGAGAAAGGGGTAAGCACTGAGGTGGCAAAGTTTGCGGACAATACTAAACTGTTCAAGATAATCAAGACGAAAGCAGACTCTGAAGAACTTCAAGAAGATCTCACGAAACTGAGTGATTGGACAATAAAATGGCAAATTAAATTTAATGTGGATAAGTGTAAAGTAATGCACATTGGAAAAATAACCCCAACTATACTTACAATATGATGGGGGCTAATTTAGCTGCAACAAATCAGGAAAGAGATCTGGAGTTATCGTGGATAGTTCTCTGAAAACATCCATTCAGTGTGCAGCGGCAGTGAAAAAAGCGAATAGAATGTCAGAAGTTATTAAAAAAGGGATAGAGAATAAGACAGAAAATACCTTATTGCCCCTATATAAAACTATAGTACACCCACATCTTGAATACTACGTACAGATGTGGTCTCACCTCAAAAAAGATATTTTGGCATTAGCAAAGGGTCAGAAAAGAGCAACTAAAATGATTAGGGATTTGGAATGGGTCCCATATGAGGAGAGGTTAAAGAGACTGGGACTTTTAAGTTTAGAAAAGAGGAGACTGAGGGGGGTTATGATAGAGATATATAAAATCATGAGTGATGTGAAGAGGGTGAATAAAGAAAAGCTGTTTACTTGTTCCCATAATATAAGAACAAGAGGACACCAAATGAAATTAATGGGTAGCAGGTTTAAAACTAATAAAAGAAAGTTCTTCTTCACACAGTGCACAGTGAACGTGTGGAACTCCTTGCCTGAGGAGGCTGTGAAGGCTAGGACTATAACAGAGTTTAAAAAAGAGCTAGATAAATTCATGGAGGTTAGGTCAATAAAAGGCCAGGGGGTAAGGAATGGTGCCCTTGGCCTCTGTCAAAGGCTGGAGAAGGATGGTAGGAGACAAATTGCTTGATCATTGTCTTTGGTCCACCCCCTATGGGGCACCTGGCACTGGCCACTGTCGGCAGACAGGATACTGGGCTGGATAGACCTTTGGTCTGACCCAGTCTGGTCGTTCTTCTGTCCTCCAAAAACCAGGACTCCCTCCAGCAACATCAAGGGTCCAGCAGGACCACAGATGTTCCGGGACCAGGGAGTCCTGGCTGGGAGCCCCAGTGGCAAGAAGGTTAGTGGCTTGAAGCCTGGCAGTGCTGAAGCTGTGCTACCGGAGCTGTAGTAGCATAGCCGGGGCTATGGAAGCTCCAATAGCAGGGCTGGTGATGCAGCAGCTGCAGTAGCAGGGCCAGGGCCAGGGACACAGCAGTCCTGGTAGTGGGGATGGGAATGTGACAGCCCTGGTAGCGGGGCTGGGGATGTGGTAGTCTGGGCCGCCAGGGCTGCAGTAGCGTGGCAGCCCGGCAGTGGGGGTGGCCAGGGCTGGCAGCGGGGTGGGGGAGGTGGGCCAGGGGACTGGTAGCATGGGACCTCCCCTGGTCCAGCAAATTCCCTTGTTTGGGACTGGTCAGGTCCTGAGGGTGCTGGATGAGAAAGGGCCAACCTGTACTTGATGATAATATAATTGATAGGATTTTAAAGAGTTGAATAATTTGATTTTATTAGTCTTGTGTTCTATGACTATATTTGAGCCTCTTTTGACCTTCATTCTGAGGGGTGCTTTTGTTCTGACATGCAATTTTTAGGCATTTCACCATTACGCTTCACAGAAGACTGAGATTTCCTTTTGGTACTCCCTCTTTATAATCCATCTCACCCCTTCTTTAAGCAATATTGTTTTTATTGAGACTCCTCTCTCTTCTCCCCCTCCCTCCCATTCTTCCTTTGTACCTTTCATGCATATAGTTCCTCTTTCTGTTCTTGGCTTTTAATTTAAGTGCAGCTTTTATCACATTTGAACGTGTGTTGTAGTGTTTTAATTCTATTCTGAACCATTAGACTCTGCCATGCCCAATTGTTTTAGTCAAGAGGTGCTTAATAAATTGATGTATTCAGATTTTTTTTTAAAACAATATTTTACCACATTGGAAGTAGTGGGAATGCATGTACGTGAGCTCAGGGGCAGATGACCGTTTTGCGGGGGCCCCCCTTTGCCACGTCGCATGCGCAGTGACGCCACGGCACATGCGCGGTGGTGCCACGGCGCATGTGCGGGGCTTTTTGAAGCGCGGGGCCCGGGGCGGCTGCCCCATTCGCCCTGCCCTATATCCACCCCTGTGTGAGCTATACTGAAGTAATAAAATGTGAGTTCTGCATCTTAGATGCCATTCAGGATGGGGAATATAGCTGTCTGGAAGCATGAGCAAGTTTCACGTTGTCTTCCTTTTCCAATATTAGAAGTTTTCCCACGATGAATCTATGTAAATTTGAATTGCCTTTGGCAGAAGTGAGGGATTCAGTCAGGGTGTTAGACACCTTCCCTTTTACTGAATACTTTTTATTTAACTGCCTTTTGCCTGCCCCTTGAAACTGCTTTTGGAGTAGAACCCACCAAATGAAATGGTTGTGTTAATGAGTGGGGTTTGCACATAAAAGATCAAAATTACCATCTCTTCTGAGGAAATCTGTTTTTAATTCAAATCATACACACGTTTAATGTTTCATATCTAAAATTTAAAAATTGCCATAAGTGATTGTATGGTCATGGTGTTTTGTGAACTACAAAGAAGCCATATAAAGGCAACATTCTACACAATTAATGTGTCCTAAATAATTTTAGTAAACATCCTTCATACATTTGGCAGTTTGCAGAGAAATTCCAGGAAGTAAAAGAAGCTGCACAACTAGCAAGAGACAGATCTCAAGAGAAAATTGAGACTTCAAGCAATCATTCCCAAGTAAGTCACTTATCTGTAAATTATGTATACACACATGCAGAAAAAAATTATTTGAGACTAGATTTGACACTGGAATGTACCTACTTCTGGCGGCCAGTTTAAAGTGACAACAAAGAAGATGGTGATATAGCATTGTTAGCTAGTGGCCATTCACATTGCCCGAGGAATATTCTTTTTCTTTTTTTCTCTCTACACCTTTCTTTCATTTAAATATAATAGTCTGTAAAGCTGTTCTTGACTTACAATAGTTATTTAAAAATAGCAAGGCCCTCTTTGATATAGTGATAGAAATGTAGCCGTGTTACTCTGGTGTAGCTGAAACAAAATACAGGACTATGTAGCACTTTAAAGACTAACAAGATGATTTATTAGGTGATGAGCTTTCGTGGGCCAGACCCACTTCCTCAGATCACATAGTGGAAGAAAATTGTCACAACCATATATACCAAAGGATACATTTTTTTAATTGTGTCCTTTGGTTACAATTAAACCAAAGGACTAAATAATGGTTTTTAGTCTTTAAAGTGCTACATAGTCCTGTATTCTCTTTGATATAGTTCTTCATTGTGTTGGTCACTGGGGACTTTGCCTCACTGCAGTATTTCAGCAGTAAATAAATGGAATCTGATGTAACACTTGCTAGTGCCACTTGCCCAGCCTATTTTTATATGTGGTTGGGGCTGTGTTGGAGATGAGTTTGTACAACGTCACATAGCTTGCTTGGTTTTAAAGTTCTCGTATGTTTCGTTGTCTAAACTTGGTGATCCATAGATGCTATAGTTCATTGTTTTTCAACCTTTTTTTTTATAAAGTACCCCTTTAAAAAAAATAGTACCCCCCATACCTACAGTTTTCAGACACACCATTTTTTTTTCTACCATTGCAACACATTTGTTTAAACAACTTAATCGTAGCCAGGTGGATGATGAAATTTTTGGATGTAAAAAGTACAAAAATAATAAAACGCTGTAAAACTTAAAACAAAAATTCACTGTTCTCCAAATTTCAGTTGTGTTGATATAATCCCTAGACATCTCTCGAGTACCCCTAAGGGTACTCGTACCACTGGTTGAGAAACACTGCTATAGTTTGTAGGCAAGGCTTTATCATTCCTTGCTCTCAGGTAACTAGCGGGAAGGGAGTTTACAATGTATGTCCATATAATACAGCTGTCTAGGACACTTTAGTTTAGAAAAATGCCATTATACCCAGTTTTTTTCAGAACATACTGAAATCAAGTTTTATCACAAGCTTTGTCATCGTCCTTTACAGTAATTCATTATAATTCCATAAAGTCTACAGCTAGCTAAGAATTAATCCTCGTTTAATGCAAACTCATTCATTGTGTGTTGCATAAAAGTGTTGGCATTTGGAGGAAAAGGTATTCTATTTAGAGATGAATTCAGCTGCATGATCAGAAAAACCTTTGACATCAGTGAGAACTGCTGAGTGCTAGATCCCTAAACCTAGGGATGTAATAGTGTAGTCGATTAACTGATAAGCAAAAGCTTATAAGTTAATGTTATAGACTACCCTTCCCCCAGTAAATGTTTTAACAGGCTGGCTAACAGCTCGTCTCACTCCTGGCTTGCGATGGGTCTGGGATCTACCCTGCTGCAGTTCTACATTTAAAGTGTATTAGGAGCTGGGCAGGCAGGCATCCTAGCTCAGTTCTGCTTCACACTGGGTCCGGGACCTACCCCCCGCCGTAGCTGTTTGTTTGAAGTATATTAGGAGCAGCATGGGCAAGCAGCCAAGCTCAGTTTTGGCTCACACCAAGTCCGAAAGTTCTGACGTCCCCTAGACAGGAGCTGCTGCCACCCTGTGCTGCTGCTGCTTTATCAGAGGTAGCAGCACTGGGCGACAGGCAGCCTGCCTGCAAGGAGAACTGGTTTTCAAACTGGGTTCCCTCGCGGACCAGCTCCTGCCTGGCACCCCACACTACTGCCTCTGTATCAGAAGCAGCAGCGCAGAGTGGCAGAGAGCTTCTTAAGAGTGAGGCCGGAATGCACTGGGTGCTGGCCTTGCCCCCGGGGCCTACAGAATAGTTGACTAACCAATAAGAATTCATGAGGTTACTTGACTATTCAGTTAACCAATATTTAACATCCCTACCCTAAACCAGACTTGGAAGCTTGATTTTAGAGACTTAAACAAAATCTTGGCTATTGACTCTAATGAAAAGCGAAGGAAGCTAACTGACCACTGCTGAAAAGTAAGAAAGTCTTTTTGCTTCACAACTTCTGCTCATGTTTCTTTGCTCCAGTGTCTTAAACTGATTTTAAAACATTCTTCTGGAAAATTTTGCAGACTTCAATTAAGAAAATCATAATTTTTCTCTTTGAGAAGAGACTACATTTTTATTACTGTTACATGTTTTCAGTGTTTCTTTCTAAGTATTCTCTCTACGTTGCAATCTGTATATAGTTTGTTATGCCATAAAGGTGAGATGCACGTGAGAACTGGTAAGAGACTGGTCTCTATTTCCTGGTCTCACTGACTTGACATGGGACAAGGTTACAAAAAGCGTGAATGTCAGGAGTCACTATTGACTAGTTTGAGTGGTTACTAGAGCACACTGATGGTATTTCTAGCTCAGATAAGGCACTATCTGTCATTATTTAAAGGAAATCAGAAATGTTTTTGCATAGTGCAAATACATAACATGACATGGTATATAATGTGACCTCTTATGATGCTTATATTTGGCTTTACTGGAAATGTGCTGATACAGATAGGAGTACATTTTGATTGATAAGAAGAACAGATAGGAGTACATTTTGATTGATAACAAGAGTTTTTGGTGGTTTTTTTTGTTTTTGTTTTTGTTTTTGTTTTTTTACTCCTTTGGCTGGGCTGCAACCAGCAACATTACTTAACTAGGCCATTGCATTTTCTGCCACATATCTAGTATGTCAGGGGTGAGCAAACCACAGCTCATGAGCCGCATGTGGCTCTTCAACGAAAAATTGCGGCTTTGATTGAAGCAATTGAGGCGGAATTGCTTCAAAAGGGCCCAGGGCTCCCAGCTGTTGGCAGTGGTTGGAGGCACAGCATGTTCCAGGCCATGCTGGGGGCTTAAAGACTTAAGTTAGTTACTGAGATAGGAGTGGGCAATAATTTTTGTGCGGTATTCACCCGGACAGTCCAGTATTTTCGTCTCCTGTCCGGTAAAAAAAATTCAGAGAATACCGGACACTTGAGATGTCCAGTATTTTCTGAATTTTTCCCCGGCCCGGAGTTGAAAATGCCGGGCACCTGGCAACCCTACAAACACTCAGCACCCGGCCTCTCCCCCCACCCCCCAAGCCTCCTCCTGGCCCCCAACACCTCCAGCCCCCCGACCCCAGCCTCCATGCTTACCTGGTTCCCCAAGGCTGCCGGCACAAAATGGCTGCCGGCCAAAAGACCTAGGGGAAGCAATGCTTTCCCCTGGGTCTTACTGCTCAATCGCTCCCCTGTTCCTATCCCTGCACTCAATCTTAAACATGCTCTTTTAATGCTGTTTGTTTTATTTATTTATTATTTTGGCTTTTTTTTTTGTCTTTTTTTTTTTCCTCAACAACTTTGGTCTCCCCCCCCCCCCCTTTTTCCCTTCAGCATTTTTTCCCGGTGTTTTGTTTTGGGGGGGAGGGGTGTTTGGTATTTTTGTTTCAACCATCTGGCAACCCTAGTTGTGTGTGCTGGTTGAGAGAAGCTGCATTCTGTGTCTTTAAGGGAAATCTGTCTTGCTCTGTTGTCGCCCCATCCCCCTACTCCCATTCTGCACTCCCCTGAGTCATGTGCTTCAGATTGGAGCAGCTCTCCTTACTGTGTTTCTCTCAAACCCCTGATCTGTAAAGATAGGGGCAGGGGAACATCTGAACTTGAACCCTCCCCTTTCCCTCTCACCCTGTTGCACAGCTGGCAGGAGGCTCCTGAAAGCAGCTGGGCTTGCAGGATGGAGCAAGGTGCAAGGAGGGGTAGCTAAACACACCATGCTGGTGGCCAGCTTTAAGCATGCACTTCTGCTAATCAGTGGGGTTGTCCAGAGAAATGCCTGATGGGCCAGATCCAGCCACTGGGCCTGAGTTTGCCCAGTCCTGTACTAGGACAAACTTTCTAACTAAGAGGGTAGTTAAGCTCTGGAATAAGCTTCCCAGGAGGTTGTGGAATCATTGCAGATTTTTAAGAATAGGTTGAACAAACACCTGCCCATTAGGGACAGTCTGTATCTATGTAGTCCTGCCACAGCCCAGAGGCTGGACTTGATAAACTCTCAAGTTCCCCTCCAGCCCTACATTTCTATAATTTTAAATTTTATGTTAATACTAATCTGTGGATTGTGCTGCAGGAATCTGGACGTGAAACACCATCTTCTACTCGGGCATCCAGCGTGAATGGAACAGACGATGAGAAGGCATCTCATGGTGGCCCTGCTGATGCGCATCTTAAAAGCGAGAATGACAAACTGAAAATTGCTTTAGCCCAAAGGTGAATATTTAAATTGCACTGAATGCCTGTGTGGTAATGCTTCGCTAGTGGGTACATATACATATACATATTCAGGGATCGTTCAGTAAGGAAACAGCTAGCTGACCTAATAGTTACTATACTTTTTAAAAGGCAGACCAAGATAGATAAAAACAGCTTATATTAAAAAAAGTGAAGAGGATAAAAAAAGTGGTAATAGGATCCATGTTGTTGCCTGCCTGAGAGTTATTGTAAACTGAAATAAAAATAATTGGTGTCCTAGCACTAAGGTGCTTACGTACACAAGAATGTACTGCATGTATCTCTTAAACCTTTTCCTGAATTTCTAATGTACATGTGAACTTTAACTGCTGACAGTTTAGGAGGAATTCTGATTCACTGCTAAAATGTGTCCTCTTTAAAGTTTTAAAATATATATATATATATTTCTCTTAATAAATCACCAAAGGTTCACTTATACAATTTAGATCACTGACTATTGAATAGGCATAGTTATTATAGCTTACTATATGTACATTATAATAGTATTAGCAATAATTATTCAAATGTTGTTGCATTCATTTAAAACAGGGGTCTCAAACTCCCAGCCTGCAGGCCATCCCTGGCTGGAGCGATTGTGCAAGCCCTATCCCTTCCATTCATCATCCCACCCTCTTCCCCTGCGGTGAGTGTGGGGGAGGGATGGCATAAGAACAGCCATAGGTCAGACCAAAGGTCCATCTAGCCCAGTATCTTGTCTGCTGACAGTGGCCAGTACCAGATGCCCCAGAGGGAGGGAGCACAAAAGGCAGTCATCATGTGATCCCTCTCCTGTCATCCATTTCCAGACAAACAGAGGCTATGGACACCATTCCTACTCATCCTGGCTAATGGCCATTGATGGACCTAATCTCCATGAATCTATTTAGCTATTTTTGAGCCCTGTTAAAGTCCTCGTCTTCATAACATCCTCTGGCAAGGAGTTCCACAGGTTGACTCTTCACTGAGTAAAGAAAAACTTCTCTTTGTTTTAAACCTGCTGCCTATTAATTTCATTTGGTGACCCCTAGGTCTTGTGTTGTGGGAATAAAAAAATAATGTTTCCTTATTCACTTTTTCCATACCAGTCGTGATTTTATAAACTTCTATCATATTCCCCCTTTGTCTCCTCTTTTCTAAGATGAAAAGTCCAAGTCTTTTAAATCTTTCTTCATATGGGACCTGTTCCAAAACCCTAATAATTTTTGTTCCCTTTTTCTGAACCTTTTCCATTGCTAATATTTTTTTTTTAAGATGAGACCACATCTGTACACAGTATTCAAGAAGTGGGCAACCATGGTTTTATATAGAGGCAATAAGATATTCTCTGTCTTATTCTCGATCCCTTTTTAATGATTCCTAACATTCTATTTGCTTTTTTGACTGTCACTGCATACTGAGTGGATGTTTTCAGAGAACTGTCCACAATGACTTCAAGATCTCTCTCTTGAATAACTGTATCTAAGTTAGTCCCCATCATATTGAATGTACAGCTGGGATTATTTTTTCCAATGTGCATTACTTTACATTTTATCAACATAAATTTCATTTGCCAATTTGTTGCCCAATCCCTTAGTTTTGTGAGTTCTTTTTGAAGCTCTTCACAGTCTGCTTTTGTCTTAACTGTCTTGAGCATGTTGGTATCTGTTCTTAACTGTCTTGAGCATGTTGGTATCATCTGTAAATTTTGCCACGTCACTGTTTACCCCTTTCTTGAGATCATTTATAAATAAGTTGAATAGGATTGGTTCCAGGACAGACCTTTGGAGGACCCCACTAGTTACCTCTCTCTACTCAGAAAACTTACTGTCCTTTGTTTTCTGTCTTTTAACCAGTTTTCAAGTCATGAAAGGACCTTCCCTTTTATCCCATGCCAACTTACTTTACTTAAGAGCCTTTGGTGAGGGACCTTGTTAAAGACTTTTTGGAAATCTAAGTATACTGCATCCACTGGATCCTCTTTGTCCACTCTAGTAAATTAGTAAGGCATGATTTTTGTTTACAGAAACCATGTTGACTTTTCCCCAACAAATTATGTTTATCCATGCGTCTTACAATTTTATTCTTGCCTGGTACTGCTGTTAGGCACGACCTTGAGGACAGGGGAAAGGGTATCGTGATGGCAGGAAGGGGCATGGCTTGAGGGCCTGTAACGCATAGGCCCCTCCCACCCCTTACCCCCCGTGGCTTGCTGGGAGTCCTGGGCTGGATTGCACAATCACTCCGTGAAGGATGGGTGAATGAGCCGACTTTAGTAGATACTTCTGTTGTGAAATTGGGAGATTTACCACTTAGTTTCTTTCTGATTTGGTGTATGATGAAGTAAACTCTCATTTACTCTAGCAATACCAGATCACATTGTTGACCGTGGATGTGTGGTTCTATGAATGCAGAAATAACATTTAGGCCATCAGGGAGCAATTACTGCTGTTGATGTATGAAGCCAATCTTCTCTTCTGTTTTTGGTTTCAATGTGTGTTCTTTATCTGCGAAAACAGGTGAGGGTATGTAAAATCACAAAAGCGAATTATTAGCTCACCATAAAATATTAATGGAAAAAAGGTAACTTTATGTAGCATTCTAAAAATTTTTGTGCACCACTTGAAAAATATACTTATATGCTTTGAAATCACATTGTGTACCATTGATTTAATAAATTATTTGACAAGGCAAATCCCTATAATTTGTAGCCATAGTAAAATAAAAAGTTGGAATGTTCTAAGCAGCGACATTAAAATACCATAGTTCTTTTCTTGGAACTTATTTGCCATCTCTACCTCCAGCATTTGAATACTCCCATGAGTAGAAAGGAAAATAACATCAGTGTCATGAATGCCTTTTTAAGGGTTTTTTCAAAAGCTATATAAGCCATAGGATACAATAAGCAATCCTGAGGAGAATATCAAACTCTCCTTTTAATTTTAATGGGGTAATTCTTTATTTTTACTGGCTGAGGTCACTTTTACTGGCTAGTAACATGTAGTAACTGAGATACCAGGAGCTTTCAGTTTCTTCCATCCGTTGTCCCTCACCTCCTTAAAAGGCACATCACTCACCCTTTACTTCAGGAGCTTGTAAGGTCCTGGAATGTTTATTTCTTCAGTAGTAGTATCCTGATATCTTTATAGAGCTTTAAAACAGAACAAAAGAAGTGAAAGTGTATTTTACCTAAAGAGTGTATATATATGTTTCTTGGCTTAATATTATGGTATTTTATATAATATTTTTCATCCTGAAAGATCCCAATATGCTTTATACGTACATGATGTGCAAGTACCATCTGAAATGCAGCCACTGTTTTAACAATTCACAGCTACCTTTCAATACAGTTTAGGACAGGAAGTAAAGAATGCTGTAAAAATTCATGACTGCAGACAGCACACATCGCAGTTATCAACTAAACATCACATCTGGCACCGACAATAGTAGTTTTGTCTTTGGGCAGTTCATTGAAGATGAGTGATCATGTACTCTTAGGACAGAGGGTCAGTGTGGAATGGTCATTCCACTGGGATGCTCTATTTAATTCAGCTTCCCATCCACCTCTGCAATCAGGTGTTTTCATAGAGAAATAAATGGAACTAAAGCATTAGTAAATCTAACTCTAGCCTGTTGTTTTCAGTTCTTCCAATGTAAAGAAATGGGAAACAGAATTGCAGACTCTGAGGGAGAGCAATGCTAGGCTGACCTCTGCGCTCCAAGAATCTGCTGCCAGTGTAGAGAATTGGAAAAAGCAGTTTTCAGAATGCAAGGAAGAAAATGATCAACTCAGGAACAAGGTAACACCAGTGGGCTGGATAGAATAAAATAAACCCCCCAAGCACCATTTGAAATGTCAGATTACCCTGGCCTGGAGACTCCTCTCCTATTTCTCTTTCCTTACCCCAAGCTACTGTTCCCACAAAAAGCTGGTGCTGTATGAGATTTACAAACATAACTAGCAGTAAGTTGTTCAAATACTAACCAAAAACTACTGAAGAATCTGCAGCCAAGCACTGAACAAAGTAGAGGAAGTCAGTCAGCAGCTGCAGCAAAGGTGAGAAGAAAAAAAACAAAGTTCAGTCATACCATACCCAAATTTATATAAAATCCAGAGCCAAACTTTTTTGAATTATTATTTTAAAACATGAATTCAATATAATATTACGAAATTAAGCTTTAAAAAAAATCTATAATATTTCTAAATCTTTTCCAATGCCCCTCTTCTCACAGCTGAGGAAGAGACAGCAGTGGCATCTTTTTTTGTACTCATGTGATGTTCTCTATGTATCCTGGCTTCTCTGCTGGTTTGTCTTTTTCTTGTGCTAGAGAGGAAGTACGGTGTAGAGGAGACTGAAGCTACATGAATACTTACATGCCAAAGATCAATCTTCTGATGTTCAATTTAGCGGGTCTTGTAAGACCCGCTAAATCGAATACCAATGGCTCCCTGGTTGGTGTGGTATTCCTCTGTCGCAAGGAGTAAAGGAAGCCAACAGAACATTTGCTCCCATCAACCTCCCACTGTAAAGTCAGCACCAAGCTCGGCTTAAGGTATGTTGACTCTAGCTACATTGTTTACATAGCTGGAGTAGCGTACCTTAAGCCGACTTTCTGGGTTTGTGTATAGATTGGCCTGAGAGAGTTGCTACTCCTTGCCTCCAGCATGCAGGAGGTAAAGAACTGGAAGTCAGTAGGTGACCAGGGACTTTCATATCATCCAAGATTCCATGCTACCTGGTTGGGGGAGCTGCAATACTGTCTGTGCTGTTGGGTAGGATGAAGGAAAAGAGAACATCAACCAAGATGATTACTATAGCGTGCTCTTCTCCTAATTTATTTCACTATAGTATATCAATGCCCTGTGCTCATACCTTGTGATGAGGTGGCTGGTTTAAAAACTCAATAATGCTAATCGGATCTCAAAATCAGACAGCTATGTAATAACACAAGTTGTATGCTCCTTACTGTAAGCACTAAAAGGGGGGGGAGGAGGAGGAGGAGGAGGAGGAGAAGCCAGGCTGAGAATCAGACCCACCAGCTTCAAAGCAGCATGTTTCAACTCCGTAAGCCTGTTGGAGATTGTTGCCAAAAGCCTTTTTCCCATTCTTACCGAACGTGTAATTTCACAGTACTGCAGTATAGGAATTGAATGTGAACCACAAGAGAGAACACTTGGGAGATGTAAATTTAGATTTTTAAAAAGCCCAGCTTAGAATAGTAGCTTACACTGTCACTGAAATAATATGGTGCTATCTATCAAAAGCTTGTAATTGGCCCATGCACTGGTACAAGTCTGTTGAATACAGTGGAATTCTGTTTCTGAGAATGCTGCTTGTAGGGATAATTTCAGCTTATTGATCTTAAGCAACTTTCCAAAAAGCTGGGTCCCGTTGTTGCTGCTGTTTTTGCCTTTCACACATTCAGCTCACTGGGGCAGTCCATGTATAAAGCTCATTGCAAGTAATTTTTAATTTTCTATTGTTTTCAGGAGTTAGGTATGCCTTTCATTCATTTTTGCATGCCACTTCTGTCCGGGTGAATAATATAGCTTGTGGGAATGCTGCTGATAGACAGATATTTCCTAACTTCCCTGTCTGTCAGGGCACTAAAATACCTAATGGAATTCTCTTTGTCTTTGCAAGATGAAGATTTTATATCTGTTTGTGTACAGTTTGGGGACATCACTCTCAGAATGTAAAGATAATTCCAGTAGAGCAAATCAGTGCTTCTCAACATGCTTCCTCTGTATTTAGAGGACTGCTTAACCCATGCTGTGTGTCAAGATTTCCTGGCACTAATTGTTAGTGTCAAGGTAACATTAGGTTGTTAGATAAATCTGGTTCCTAGAGCAAAGAGTTAATAGTTCTTTATAAAGGCTAGCAGTGAAGGTTTCTTTCATGTATAAGGGAGAAATGACTTGTTGAAATAGTAAATTACAGCTAAACAGCATAGTGCGCAACATACATTATTTACTCCTGGTTTGTTTTTGTGTAATGTTGCATTGAAAAGTTGCTTTCATTGACATGATCAGGTGTAAATGTGTCACTTCTCTCTGTGTTGTCCAAAATGAACAGGTTCACAAAACACTTCCTTATTCTGGCTCAGTGGTTAAGGTACCTATAGTGAAACACATGCTTTCTGTGGTTTGTATTGCTGCACTGCCTGCATATGGCGTTGTGATGTTCCTGTAGAGAAAGAGATTTTTCTATGTTTCCTCTTTCAAATAGGTTTCTCAATAGGCATTGGTGCTGCACCAGAATGGGCTGCTGGGAAGGTCCCTCTCCTGTGTTAATTTGGTTATAAAAATTTGTGCATGTTGATCTACATAGCATGGTGACAAGTACAGTTTCAGAGTAGCCAAACACTGAGAATGAAATAACACAAGTTAAGGAGAGAGCCTGGTAGCCTAGGAGCAGCACACGCACACAAGATCTGAGTCCAGAGATGGATGGAAGAAGTGTGGAATCAGTAAGCACATTCCCTGTGTGAGGAAACAAAGCACCATCTGTCACTCTGTACTAATCCTTCTGGCTAAGTTTTAATGCTGTATCCAACCCTCTTATTCCTTCGGGAATAATAGATAGGTCTTGAGGAGACAATGTTGGGATCTCCAGAGAGCTTTCTTCCCCATACCATATTTTTTTAAAACCCCCTCCTTGTAGATTACTGGCTCAGACTTGCATAAAAATGGGAGTGCAAATTTGTCCCCATTCATTTCTCATCGTTACTAATTATAACATTCCAGTGCTTTGCACAGTCCCATGTAATTGCATAACACACTATGTGAACTACAATAAACACATCCTGTGAGGCTCCCTAGAGTGTCTGTAAATGGGTTACTTTGTTCTTAATTTCAAATATGACAGTGGTAACTTTGACCTGTTGTACTAACTGATACACTCTAATGGGCAAATCCTCAGCGGATGAGAATTGTCATACCTCCATTGAGCTGGGATAATTTACACCTGCTGAGGATCTCCCCTGGCTTTGCAGAGAACTGGAGCTTGATTTTTTTTTAAAGATTGAAGAGCTAGAAGAACAATGCAATGAAATAAATAAAGAGAGAGAGAGAAATGCACAGCTGAGCAGGCGCCTCCAGGAACTGGAATCAGAAGTTCAAGACAAAGAACTAGTAAGTAAAATAAACTTAGAAATGGCACAAATTCTTCAAAGTCAGAGTGGGCCTGCTTGCTTTTCTCTGTATGTGTTGCTTTGCATAATGTGTCACCCATAGTCAAAGGGAGCCCAGCATTTTAGGTTTCTGCTCTTTCTAGCTGTTGTAAGACAATTTTGACCACCTAGCTCAGTTGTGCTCCCTAAGCACTCATTTACAACATGTAGATTCTGACTTTTTAATTTGATGTGGCATTTTAGTGTGATAATAGTTCATAAAAATGATACTTTATACTTCCAAGGATCTCAATGCCTCTTAAAACCATTGGTTAGTTAAGCAGCGTAATACCTGATGAGATAGGTAAGCAGTGGTGTCCTCGTTTTACAGGTGGGTGAAATGGGCTGAAGAAGTTATTTGCCTTGCCCAACTTCACACAGCAAATTGAGAACAGAATCTCAGAATCACTACTCTCAGTCCCTTGCTCTTATCGCTTTACTATTTGAAAGGAGGGGAGTGGTTGACTTTCAGATGCTCGTCTGTAAAAAGGCATCCTTTACAAGAGTATTTAATATCTTTATGAAGGCAAGTGAGGCTGTCTTTCAGTGGGATCTTATATTTTACTATTTTGCCAGCCATACCTTCTGATTTTAATAATTAAGTCCAAGATTGATATTAACATTAGAAAATGTTACTTACAGATTCATTCATGGTTCCTAAATCTCTCATCTTAGCTCAGGGCTTATCTCCACTACATGGTAGATTGACGCTGCAGTGATTGATCCACCAATGGTCGATCCACCTATTGTCTCTGCTTAGACGTGATAAATCGACTTCCAAATGCTCTCTCGTAAGCTCCAGTACTCCATTGGGACAGGAAGGTTAGGCAGAGTCGTCGGGAGAGCATCAGCCACTGACCTGATTGCATGAAAGACACTGTGGTTAAAAACATCAACTTCAGCTATGCTTTTCAGGTAGCTGAAGCTGCGTATCATGGTAGATGGATGGGGGATGTAGATTAGACCTACGGCAAATGCTGTTGAAAACTTATAGCCCTTGAATGGGGGAAAAGTCATGGTATCTTTGGGTTTCCCCACCACCACTGTAGAAAGCAAGGCTACGTCTACACTGGCCCCTTTTCCGGAAGGGGCATGTAAATTTCACTAGTCGTCGTAGGGAAATCCGCGGGGGATTTAAATATCCCCCGCGGCATTTAAATAAAAATGTCCGCCGCTTTTTTCCGGCTTTTAAAAAAGCCGGAAAAGAGCGTCTAGACTGGCCCCGATCCTCCGGAAAAAGTGCCCTTTTTGAAGTAGGAATAAGACCCTCCGGAAAAGGGCACTTTTTCCGGAGGATCGGGGCCAGTCTAGACGCTCTTTTCCGGCTTTTTTAAAAGCCGGAAAAAAGCGGCGGACATTTTTATTTAAATGCCGCCGGGGATATTTAAATCCCCCGCGGATTTCCCTACGACGACTGGTGAAATTTACATGCCCCTTCCGGAAAAGGGGCCAGTGTAGACGTAGCCCAAATGTTTGTGCCCATTCAAGAGCAAACACAAACAGAAGGTGTAGTGAAACTTACCTAGTACCACTATAACGTCTCAGTTGATGCTCTTAAAAAGCAGTGCTATTAAGGAGCTTTTAAGATGGTACAAGAAACTGGTTAGGGAGATGGATTTTGGTGCGCAGTTAAAAATATAATACAGTTTTCAGCACTGAGTTTCAAAGGAAATATCATGCTTTCTTCCTAACCTTTCTATTCTAATAGCATAGGTAATAACACCTATTTTGTGCTAGTATTTTCCTTGAGGTTCACATTCTCCAGACACCAAATCAGCCAGAAAATTGATTGACTCATGAATATTACAGGCCTAGCTTCCATTCCTTTTTGAGAATGAACTATACCAGCTTGATTTCAGACTTTCGTACATTAGTGGATTTCTGATTATCTCTAAACCACCATACATAAGCTGCTCTTGGCTTTGCAAGGCAAACCAGCATGAAGCCTGCTCACAAATGCAGCCGCAAAAAAAGCAAAAAAATTTTGTGCATTTGAGGAACAGAAAAGGGAAGAGAGCAAAATGAAGGGTTGGACAGTGGCACAGAGGCATTTGGACAAAAAAAATATAAGCCACAGACGTATATAATAGCACCTGAATGCTTAAAGATGAATGGAGGTTTCATTTCTCAAAATAAATGTAGTGGGTTACTCTGAGTTCTGGGGTGTAATCCAGACCAATAAGATACTGTGTCACTGTTTGCCATGCAATGTTGGATGCCTCACAGTGCTTTGCTGCTGTAGCTTCCAACTGCACATGCTCACAGCCAACTTACAAGTAGGCAGGTTACACCGTGAGGGTAGGTCTACACTTTAGTCCATCGAGTGATAGATGCTAAAGATGGCTTCTGTCTTGGCTTATAAACTCCAAAGTTCAACAGTCTTGTTTAAAGAGGCAGGATGACCTCATACTGTGGGACTTCCCATCCTTGGTGTATATCTAAGGCTTTCATTGTTTTGATTCCATCATACTTAATTTACGTAGGAGGCAGATAAATAGCTGCTATGTTCCTTCCTGTACAAGAGACACTTGTTCCTTCCTTTTGAAATACTCTAATGCCTAATTTCCATAGGTATACAAAACTCCTTATATAGTGTTAATGCAAACATTTTATGATATTATCACCAGTGTATCATAGACTTTTCTAAAATACCTCTCAATCAATTGATTCAGTTGCTTAGCACATGCGGTTCAGACCCCTTGTCTTTATAAACCAGTAGTCTTTGAAAAATAAACCAAGCTTTTCTCTCTTGATGGATGTAAATGCCCTGCTGTCTTTTCCCCTATTTGTTACTTGATAGCTTTGTTTACTTCATATGTAAATTGATCTTCATTGTCTTGGTTTGATGGTGGGGCTGGTCAGAGAAGCAAACATTCCTTTGGCCTTATCTATACTTATTGAGAAATTGATACTGCGGAGATCAATCTCCCAGGGGCTGATTTAGCAGGTCTAGTAAAGACCCAGTAAATCAATTTCTGATTGAGTTCTCATTGCCTTGGGTCTCAAGGAGTAAGGTGAGTCTATGGAGGAGTTTCTCCCATCAACTCCTTACAGTGGGGATGCTGTGGTAAGACAAGTTAAGGTATGTTGACTCCAACTATGCTTTTCACATAGCTGGAATTGCGTACCTTAGTTCGACTTTACACCCTAGTGAGTGACTTTGCACCCTAGCCTTTGCCTAGGATTGACTTGTTTATCAACTCCCCCTGACATGCCTGGCTTAAACATATTTTTGAAATCATTCTATCATTTATACTTAACTCTTAATACATGTTCATGCATACATAATAAGTATTTTAATGATCAGTGAGTTATTAGTTTTCCAATGACCTATTTCTTGACATGTATTAGATACCGTTTATAACCATATTAGAGGAACACTGATTTGGTCAGGACAACTGAAATTCATTTCCTAATACCAACACACATTCTTACCCTCTGTACTGAGGTGCTCTATGGGTCAAAGCTTCCCGCTTACAAAATTGCAGGAGGATTAGTCACTGGCTGACCCAGAGCCAGCAAGTCAGAGTCCTCTTCCTGACAGAGCATCTTCTGCAATATTTTCATTATCTTGTATATTTAAAAAAAACCTGTTTTGTCATCTTTGTCTGTTTACAGTTTCTAGGCCATAATATCAGAGAGTATCCATAATTTCATCTACAGAGTTATTACAAAGCGTTTGCAGTAACATTAATGACCATTAGACAGGACTATGCAGCACTAACAAGATGGTTTATTAGGCGATGAGCTTTCGTGGGCCAGACCCACTTCCTCAGATCAAATTGTGGTAGAAAATTGGCATGACCATATATACCAATTTTCTTCCACAATTTGATCTGAGGAAGTGGGTCTGGCCCACGAAAGCTCATCGCCTAATAAACCATCTTGTTAGTCTTTAAAGTGCTGCATAGTCCTGTCTTTTGTTTCAACTAGACCAGACTAACACGGCTACATCTCTATTACTTAATAACCATTGTGCTATTAGAGTTCAATCAATCTGTTATGTGTCACTTTTAAATCAATATCATGACTTTCTCCCTCTCCCCCCACATTCCCCATGGGAGGTGTAGTGAATATGTCAGGCCTGACAAGACTTGCTGACACAGAGTAGTAGAGTCTCTGTGTCAGTTAACATCTTTTTTGCATATCTGGGTCCGTGCCTGGTACCCTTGCATTAAATGCTGATTTTAATTGATTTCAACATGGTGGTCAGAAACAGTCCATGCTAACAAGCAATTTGACCCTTTACGTTAATCCTGTGAAATAATGGTCACAAAGTTGGAGAAGAACACACAATCTTGGAGATGTCCTGGATGATATAATTGCTCATCGAGAATGCTCAGTTTTTGGGTGGAGTGGTATTTTTGGCAAAAATTTTGGAAGCAAATATAAACCCATTGTGAAATAGACCGGATTCTTTTGAAAGTTGGGTTATAACTGAAATATGAGACATGGTATTGTATCTGGAGAAATGGAATCTGGAGACATAGAGACTTTTTTATTGCGTAATTTTATAACAGAGTATGAGGTACTATTCCTATATATTCTTATTCTGCTGTGAAATCACAGGTAGCTGGAACAGAATACGTCACATATCCCACAACTCTACTTGCTAGCCTATATCAGACTAGATTGAGGACTGATAAGGCTGGATACAACAGTATTTTATTTATTTAGTCTGTCTAGCCAAAAAAATAATAATCCCACGTTTTGAGACAGATCCTATGGCTTGCGCCACAGATCACAGCCTGCCTCCTCCTGGATCCTAGGGGAAATCACTAGGAGCAAATCTCTGTGGATGTTTTCATCCAGAAAACCCCTTTCTGCAGCTTTAAATGAGGCTGCAGGGAATTATTTGGCCCTTGGTAATTTACAGTTTTCAAATACGTTCTCCAAGTCACCACTGCCTTTGCTATTAGCAGAACTACAAACTTTTTAAAGCTTTCCTCTTAAATCCAGCCACCTATTTGTCTCATTGCTCATTTCTAACTCCCTTCTGTTTGTTCATACCATTTTGGGAATGTGACGCTGAGAATTGAATACGGCATCCCAGGTGGTGTTGCTCAAAGTCTGTTATTTCTGTGCTGTGAGATATTATAGATGCAGCTAAAAAATCCAGTGACCTTTTTTGCTGCCATGTATCATTGCTAACTTGTATCTAATTTGCTGTGTGCTATCACCCATAGGTCTCTCTAGCATTACTGTGTTTCAGATGTGTCTCTCTCATTGAATGTGTCCATGTGTAGTGAGAATTCTTAAATATAACTAGCTGGAGATTAGATTATGCTTGGGTGTATAACCATGTAGTCAAGCAATAATTAATTCAGTGTAGTGCAAAAATGAATATTATTTTATTTAATTTAATAAAGTAAAAACTGCCTATTATAAAGTCAAAACATTTTCAGTTCTTTTAAGTCCCAGTGGTGTGTGGCATATGATGTACTTGTACAAAGTTATTTCACAGTTTCAAATTACTTTATTTTAAAACTGAAGCTTGTTTTAATTTTCATGTTGGCTTTTTTATAGGAATTGGAGGATCTTCGAAAACAGGGTGAAATTATACCCCAGCTAATGTCAGAATGTGAATCTGTATCTCAGAAATTACAGGTACTGTTCAGCAAATAAATTAATCTCAACACTGTGGAAAGGAAATATATATTTCTCATGTTTATATATTTTTTCCTGTTTGTACCTTTACTGATAAAGATAAGAGACCCCCAATTAATAAAAGTGAGTGCTGATTACATGCAAAATGTACTGTGGCTGCTCCCAAATTAGAAGTAATTATAGATCCTTCCTGTCTCTGCCTGGTTATCTGAAGAAGTTGTTACTGGGATCATATTGCAACTGTCACCTGGCAGATTCCAGCATAGTCTATATCCAGCATTTATGCTGCCCTTTCTTTGCCTTGTTTCATATGCAGTGCTACTAGAAGTGACTGCTTCACATACAGAGTTTGCCAAACATTTACCAGTCTCCTTTCAAGTGGCCTTCTTGAGTATTCAACTCAGTTTAACATTATGATGAAAGCTAAAGCTAATTGTTATAAAAGAGAGAAAAGAAGAAAAAGTACTAGTTGAAAAAAAAGCTAGTTACATAACATGGGTGAGAAGTTTAAACAAAAAGGTGGGTCATCTTATTAAATACAATATGTTGTCTATATTTTTAGGCTAATATTTACTAAATATCACCAAAATATTTTAATCTGGTTGGTTTTAAAGCTTTAGAACTCTGTATATATCAAAATGACTCATTCAAGAATTTGGACGTGAGGGTGGTCCCTGTCATGGATCAGTCTTCACCGAGGTATCTACTTTACTAACAAAGAACACAGAGATAGTCCCTACCCTGTGCAATAAAAGTATGAATTTAGACAACAGGTGTATAAGAACTGCAATGGCTTTTCTAGCTCTGTACATGGTCTCCAACAATGGTCAGTTCTGGCGTTTCAGGGAATGATTATCTAACTGTCGTCCTCTTCCAACAGAGGTTTAGGATTGCCCAAATATGGGGTTGCATCCCTGAACATCTTGGCTAATGGCCATTGATGGACACACACTCCTTGAACTTACCTGTTTCTTTTTTGAATGCAGCTATGAGTTCCACAGGTTAATTGTGTGAGGAACGGGGAGTACTTCCTCCTTGTTTGTATTGCATTGTTTATAGATGACACTATGGCTATGTCTACACACTTCCCTCTTCCACAAAAGCCTATGCAAATGAAGCATGGATTAGCATATTGCTACACTTCATTTGCATAATTAGGAGCTGTTTTTGCATACAAAGGCGCTGTCTATACAATGCCTTTTTGCACAAAAACCTCTTGCACAAAATTGACTTAATTAATTATGCAAATGAAGCGTGGCAATATGCTAATCTGCACTTCCTTTCAATAAGCTTTTGCAGAAGAGGGAAGCTGTGTAGATGTAGCCTCTGTTTTGCATTGTGGGAAGGGGATAAATAACCTTCTCTATTCACTTTTTCCACATTATTCATTTTTATAGGCCTCCTAGTCATTTTTTTTTTTTTTTTTTTTAAAGCTGAACAGTCTTAATTTGTTTAGTTTTTCCTCATATGGAAGCTTCTCCATATGCTTCATCATCTTTGTTGCCCTTCTCTGAAATTTTTCCAGTCCCACTATATCCTTTATGAAATTGGACAAACAGAACTGGACACAGTCCACAAGTTGTGGACTCACCATAGATTTGGATAGTGGCACTATGATATTTTCTGCCATGTTTTCTATCAGTTTCCTAATATAGGTAAATCCTAATATTTTATTAGCCTTTTTGACCACTGTTGCTCATTGAATGGAAATTTTCAGTGACTCCAAGATTTTTCTTAAGTGTGACCACTAATTTAGGACTTATTTATGTACAGTTGAGATTATATTTTTCATTGTGCATTACTTTTCATTTATTAGTGTTGATTTTCATCTGCAGCTTTGTTGTCCACTCACCCAGTTTTGTGAAATCTTCCTGTAGCTCTTCACAGTCTGCTTTGGACTGAACTATCTTGAATAATTTTGTATCCTCTATGAAATTTGTCATATCCTTGTTCACCCCTTTTTCCAGGTCACCAATGGTTATGTGGAGCAGCACAAGTCCCAGGACAGATCCTTTAGGGACCCTGTTGTTTACCTTTCTCCACTGTGAAAACTTACTCTTATTCCTACCCTTTGCTTCTTGTCTTTTAATCAGTTACTGATCCATGATAATTTCCTGTAAGGGACCTTGTCAATGGCTTTATGATAATTCAAGTACATTATATTCATTGTATCAGCCTTGTCCACATGCTTGTTGATTCCCTCTAAGAGCTCTATTATATTGGTGAGGCATGTCTTCACTTTTTTTAAAAAAAAAGAAAAAGCCGTGTGGATTCTTCCCTAACAAATCTTGTTAATCTGCTTGTCTGGTAATTCTGTTCTTTACTGTAGATTCAGCTGACTTCCCTGGAATTGAAGTTAGGCTGCCTAGCCTATAATTGTAAACGTTGACTCCGGAACCCTGTGTAATAATTGATGTTACAATACCTACTTCCCAGTTATCTGGTACAGAGGCCTTTTTTCAGCAATAAGTTATATACTACTATTAGTAGATCTGCAATTTCATATTCGAGTTCCTTCCAAACTCTTGGATGAATACCATCTAGTCCTGGTGACTTATTATTATTCAATGTATCAGTTTGTTTTAAAATCTCTTCTACTAACACATCAGTGTGGGACAGTTCTTCAAATCTGTTCCAAAAAGGATAGCTCTGGTGTGAGTGTCTCCCCCACATCCTGTGCAGCAAAGATGGACTAAAAGCATTCATTTAGCTTCTCTTCAGTGACCTTGTTTTCCCTGAGTGCTCTATTAACACCTTGATTGTCCAGTGGCCCCAGGCTTCCTATTTCTGATGTACTTAAAAAATTCTTACTCTTTTTGCATCTTTTGCAAATTGTTCCTCAAATGCTTTCTTGACCTGCCTTTTTATACTCTTGCCCTTCTCCTGCCTTCCTGTTACCCTCAGTAGGATTTGACTTCCAAATTTTAAAGGATGTCTTTTTGCAGCCTCCATTACTGTGCTTTGAGCCCTGGTGGCATCCTTTTGATCCTTTTGTCGTCGTCTTTTGATTTGTACATGTTGTCAGAGTCGCTAATGTAGTGTTTTTAAATAGTCCCCGTGCTGCTTGCAGGCATTTAAAGCGTGTGACAGCTTCCTTTTAATTTATATCTCACAAGCGTACTAATTTTGTGTCATTTCCTTTTATAATTAAATGTTACTGTAGTGAGATTTTGCAGGTTTTTTTCCATCCTACAAGGACAGTGTCATTAGAAAAGTTTTTATAGTAGGCATGCTGAAAGCCACTGAACAAAACTGTAAATTTTGTATATGCTACTACACCCCCTGAACTCCTAGTTTCTGTGTCCTTGTACAAGGATGTTAAGTTTGGTTGTAGTATGATGACTATTAGTGATTTAGCGATCATTGTCTCTTGAACCAAATCACATGCTCCACACACGACTAACCAAAGGATGCCACTAACAAATGGGGTAAACACAAGGAAACAGTGAGATAACAGTCAGTCTGATAAGCAAAAGTAAGCCTGTCTAACCATTGTCATTTACACTATTGTGAAATGAGGAAAAGCAGAAGAAAAACTCATGAAATGAGAAATGGGTTTCTAAGAAAATACACTTACTAGAGCAAACTGCAGTGGGGGGACTAGGGGTGTCAGTGTGTAGTTGACTATACAAATAACTGATAAGCCTGAGCTTATGTTAATCTTGTCGACTACACACACTCTTCCCACCTCTCCTGCCCCACTTCTGTATCAGAGGCAGCAAGGCGGAGAGTGGGTAACTGGTGCCCGTGAGGAGCTGGCTTTAAGCAGGCTCCCCACAAGCACCAGATCTGCCTGTCCCTCCAACCTCCGTGCTTCTGCCTCTGATAGAGGCAGCATCGCAGATGGTGAGGGGGACAGATGGGAGCAGATATGCACAGAGAGCCCTCTTTCAAGCCAGCTCTCTGCACGTGCTGGCTCCGCAGACCTGCCTGCCCCCTGCTTGCTAGCTCCTACAGAGGCAGCAGAGTGGGAGAAGGGTAGGCAGAAGCTGGTGCCAGGGGCTCCCTGGGAGTAGTGCTGGAAACGCACAGGCCCTGCCCCTTGAGACTATCAAATAGTCATGTAACCACTAAAATTTCATGAGGTTACACGACTATTCAATTACATGATAGCTCACATCCCAAGTGGGGAACATTGTTTTCAACTATGACAATATGCTTAAATATTCAGCCAAAGTATAACTCAAGTAGTTCAAAAGAGATCTTGCAGAACTTAATAAAGCAATGTTATGTCTCAGGCAATGTTTTGTAAAAGCTTACTTTTCAAAGCTACACTACCAGAGAGAACGTGGCAGAGAAACTAAATTCAGCTGGATTTAAATTATGCATATATGGCTGTGCATATATTGCTAGAGTTACAAAATTAAAGATATCAACCAAATGACAAAATCTAATGCAAAGCATCTTTTCTACTTAATCTGTATTCTTCCCTGCATTAGTCAGATTAAAACAAATGTAGCCCTATCATGTCAAAATTGCTTCTAGAGGTGCTTGTATTAGGCAGACTAATAAGAAGTCAAAGCAAAATGTTTGAAGTCTGTGAGACATTCTTGCTTTGCCCTAGTAAATATTGTTCATTTGTCTTATAGATTCATGCTATTTTTTCTTTTTCTTTTCTTTTCAATTTTTTTTTTTTTTTAAGACTGCTGAAAGAAAGAACAGAGAGCTTGAGGAGAAAGTGAGAACGCTAAGGACAAATGTTGAAGAGAACAAACAGAGACAGAACAACCTTAAAACTGAATTAAAGAATTTTTTAGACGTACTAGATGGGAAGATAGATGAACTACATGATTTCCGACAAGGACTGTCTAAACTGGGAGCTGACAACTAGATGACGACATAGTTTTGTAATCTAGGGCCTGAATGTTTGGTGTTCCATTGATCCCAAATGTGTGTTTACAAAATATGACTAGAATGTTCCACTTGTTTGCATTGTGTTTGTATATACAGGCTGAAAATTTGCTGTGTTTTTTTTCAAACCAGTTGTGCTGCTCATTGAATTCTGTTGAGAAGAGAAATGATTTGTATGCAGCTCTGGCTTTGTGGGTTAGTGAACAGGTGGAGGATTCTGGCTCAGGAATCTGGAACTAGATCTACCTTAAATGAATATGCAGTTAGTTGTTGCAGGGAAATTTATATCTTTCTTAAGGGCTGTTGCAACCATAGAAACAGAAAACAAGTATTTTCTAGTCCTGACTATCAATATTCCTAGCAACATGCAATTGTATTTTTGTTGTTGAGTATAGTGAAGTTAAGATTAGAGGGGGCTTCTGCTGTGTGCAATGCAGTTTGGTAAAATGTGTCTGAGCTGCAGTCAAGTGTAGCGAATCCTACTAAGTAGATATTAGGAACAAATCAATAAAGCCTAAATCAAATCAAATTTGCAGAAAGAAACCAACATGTTTATACTCCTGTGACCTTTGATATGGGGTTTACCATGTAAATGTATGTGCACATATAGCACTTTGACTGCAACATTACAGATTGTCTCAGCTCTCTTATTTATTGATTTGAAATACAACAGCTGATGACAACTTGTCTCATTTAACAAGAGCATCTTTTTCCTCACCCCTAGAGTTTACATTCATATAATTAAGTAAATCATTACATATTTGAAAAAACCCCACACTTTTCCTGGGATCAGATCTACGTCAATAAGGATAGGTTATTGTTGCACATTTACATCTGTGCCCTCTAATTATCTGTGTAACTTAATATGTGCTGTGATATCTGCTGAAGTGATTTCAGAGAAGTTAATCTAAAAAACCATGAGTTCATTTCACAGAACCACTGGGGATGGTTTTGTACAAATGCAAGTTTCTGTTCAGGAGACATCCAGGGTTGAGTTAACATGAAAGCAAAACCCTTTTCTTTGAAGTATACATGTCGATTTTACAACCTGTTCAAGGGCATGAGTTAGACACCAAATTGCCCACTTAGACTAACAAGAAGAAAGGCATTGCAGAAACACATTGTAACTTGTATTTGATTATTCAGCAGCTCTAAACACATTCTGAGTAAAGCAAGAGAATGGATGCGATTCTAGGACCACAAGAATAAGAAGCAAGCTTACTTCACTACAGGCAGTGACATACACAGCAACAGCAGAATTCAGTCACTCAGCTTTTGTCTATATAACTACCTTCAAGAGTTTTTTGTTTTTAAAAAACTAAGAGACAACCTGCTATAAAGTTATTCTGAATTCCCATGCAAATAGAATTTAGGCAAGAAGTTCTGTTTATGTCTGACATATTGATGGTATTACTTTTTTTTTTTTAAATATGGCAAAGGCCACTGAAGTGGGAAATTATTGTGTTCCAACAGGATGAAATAATATGACCATGTCATAACATTAATTTCACATATTTCTAATCCTTAGTAAAGCTATAATCAAGGATTTTTTAAAATCATTTTAATAAGGTAAGTGAATAGTACATTGAATACCTTTGCATACATATTATAATCAGACGCTGGAAGTCTGTAGAGATACTCTATCTGCAATAATTCTTTAATTTTAGATCTCCTCTTCTGCTGAAATATTGTCTATCTAGCCTTGCCTTTTTTGTACTTATGCTTTATAATCCTTTTATACAACTGACATTATGAAGCTGGGCCATTTAGGTTTATGATGGTCTTTATAAAAATTGTTGCAGAGTGCCTGTATTATATTAAAAAAAAATCAGGTATCTAGACACATAATATAGAATGTTGGCATGTGAAAATAAGCTTTTGCCAGTGTAGAATATACACATGGTACGTAATGTGGGCTTAGATAATGTGATCACACTACACAAAAGTGAGAATGATAAAGGAAACAGAGTATTTTCTAAACAAATAATTTTAGTATTTGGTTTGCATCTACATAGTTCACTGTACTCTTAAGGTTAGCAGCACCAACTGGGAAAGCAGGGAACTAAAACAACTGTCAATCACAAACAGCATACATTGCCAGGTTCCCCATGGTACTTTCCAATACAGGCAGTCCCCGAGTTACGAACGGGGTTTGCTGCCCATCTCCCTGGTCTGCTGGAGACCAGCAGACCAGGGAGATGGGAAGCAAAGCCTCTGAGGACGCTGGCAGCGGGACAGCAGCGGCGCGTCTGGGCTGTCCCGCTGCCCCCGTGCTCCGCGGCTTTGCTCCAGACGCCTGTGGTACAGCAGCTGGGGCGCTGCCGGTTGGTCCCGTAGCGTCGCTCTGGGCGCTACTGGACCAACCTGGCAGCACCCCAGCTGCTCTGCCCCAGGCGTCCTGATTCAGCCACTGCTGGTCAGTTTTTCTATCCTGCTTGCTAAGTCTGAAATCACTGGGAGCTGTGCTCATTTGAGGCTGATTGTCAGACGTCATATCCAAGAGGTGGATGGCAGCAGTTGGTGACTGACAGCCAGCAGGGTGGCGCTGGAGAGATGCAGTGGCAGGACAGCAGGGTGGTGCTGGAGTGATTCAACAAGTGGTCAGCAGGTTGGCAGCAGCAGTGATGGTGGTGGTGGGACAAGCGGCCAGGAAGGTGATGGTGGAGAGGTGCAACAAGCTGCCAGAAGAGTGGTAGTGGAGAGCAGTGAGCAGGTATCTGGACGCCAGTTCCGACTTACATACAGATTCAACTTAAGAACAAACCTACAGTCCCTATCTTGTACGTAACCCGGGGACTGCCTGTAATGTGTTTACCTCAGTCACACTGAGAACCTTGCTTAATCTTCTGTTTCTTTTGCTTTTCTTCCCACTTCTCCCTCTTTCCTCCCCATTTTTACTTAGACCTTGTCTGCATGAGAGTTGTATCAGTTTGCCTAAGGTGTGATTTTGAAAAATAGGTGCAGAGGGCTGTGCAAACACTTATTTTGGTTTAATCCAGATTTATTTTGGTTAATCTGGTTATTTCAGTTTATTTTAAACCATTTAGGAATCAGATTAAGATAAATGAAATAAGCTACCCTTTAAACTAAAATAAAAGGGTCCACACACAGGTTTGCATTTTTTAAACTAAATTTAGTTTAAAAACTGACTAAGTAAAACTTGGGCAATTTTCTGATCTACACAAGACCTCCTAAAGAAGAAATAAGGATAAGAGGAAAAGGTGTGGCGGCAGAGTCTAGAAAGGAAAGTATTTATTTTTGGACCTTCCATTTATTCTGCACAAGTCTGAGCAACCAGAGGAATAAGGTGGATACTCTTCAAGCAATCCCTGTTCTCTCTCCTGTAGTCAGGACTGCAGTGTTCATGTTCCTTCCTTCCTGTGGCAGGTGTAGTCAATTCTTAAGTGGTTGAGACTCGAGGAACCTCCACATACAACTTGCAGGCTCAGGGATTCTGACTGCCTCCCTCCTGCACTAAAGTGAAAACCCAGTCTAATTAATGTCTTCTCTCTTAATTCTCTGTAACAAAATGGAAATACTAGGCCCTGGACTTCAGAGCCCTGTTTATCTGTAAGGGTTATGCAGCACATTGGTCTTCTCTCACCTTTGCCACTTGTCTTCTCTTAGAAATTAGAGGAGATGATTGGAAGAAATGTTGCAGGCTCCCAGTCCAAAGAAAGTGAATACCTCTGTCTCTTGCATACCTACAAGCTTTTCTGCTTTGTGTCTTGATCCCTACCAGGCAGGTTCTGTCATTGAGTGGTTGACACATACCTATGTCACAGGATGGCTGTGAGGATAAATCCATGTTGGTAAACTGCATTGAGTTCCTAGCATGAAAAATGATAGTAAAAATTATTTTATTTATAACTGAAGCTCTGTTGCAGCCCACCAGTCAGCTCACAATGTCAGATATGTAAATCTTATTTAGCTCTTGAGGGACTTGATGTGGTACAAAAACCTTTCCTCTCTCCCCTTCCTCCAGCAAACTGTGAATGCAGGACCTTGGGAAACCAAGCACTCTCTTTGTGGGCATGGTGGTAGTAAAGATTAAGCAATGCTTTCTCTAGTCACCTTCATCCTTCAGTAGGTATTGGGCCCTTAGAAGTCAGGCCCTCTATTTCTGGAGTGACAACTGCTGAATTCTCCCTCAAGTTGTAATTGGTTTTCCCCTTGCATGGTCTTCAGTAACAGGTTTACACTCAGCTTTTTCTGTTTCATTTCTGCCATGCTATCTGAGCTACTTGGAGAGCTCTCAGTGGTCTTTCTGCCATAGAGATTCCTCCTTAGCTCTTAAGCTTGACTGGTTACCATAAGAGACTTGTTCATAATCCTTCACCCATTATCTGATGTCCTTTTAGTGCCTGCCTGCCTTAGACAGAATACGCTGCCCAGTCAGTCCTGCATCTTATTTTCTTTTCACGACCACAGCCATTCCTTCTGCCCTCCTTGATTCTCGGCTCAGTCCAACTTCTAAGCATCCCTTCCAGCCCTTTGCCCCATGCTTCACTTTGTTTTGGGGGAAAGATGATTCTGTGGCTCTGCTCTTGCAGGATGAAAACTTGATGATACGCGAGGGTGAATTCCTGCATAGGGAACGTGACTAGAGAGTCTTATTCAGAATCTCTGAAATCTATAACTTCCTGGAGGCTGCCTTCCATTGAAAAAAACATGTCACTGTCAGGGTACAAGGTGGATATTTTGAAGAGATTACCTGAACACAACAGTGCGACCTTCGATCATGTTTTTTCAAGGTGTTTGCATCTTGAGAATGGGTTTGTTTGTCAATGGCTTAGTCATATCTCAATTATGCCTAGAGTATTTCATATTAAAGTTGCAATGGAAATATGGGAGTTCTCAAAGATGGTGATCTCTGATGATTCCCTGACTACTCTTTTTACTTTTGTATGCTGTTTACAGGAAAGTGCTACTAATGCAGCACTTAAAAAAAAAAAACAACCAATGCTGTTCCATTAGTGCTGGTCCATCTCTCCTGATTTTTATATCTTCAGCGCTCGGCTCCATAAATAACAAAGTTACTGTCCATCTCAGTGATGCCCCTTCTGATTGCTGAGCTATATATGGGGATAGCCATGGAAGGTCAAACATGGTTTTTATTCAAGGGGTGAATCTTGCACAAACAGAATTGACTTTTATACCCTGCCCCTCCAGGGCTCTAATTTGTTCCAGGACAATCCCAATGTGGCCAAAGAGGGACCAGAGTCCAAACAGTCCTGAAACCAGAATTTCAGCCTCCATACCTTAGTCTGCAGATTTGGTTTTGCTTATTAGTAATAGTTTCCAAACATGAATTCTCCACATCCATCTGATTTGGTTAGTTATCTTTGATTAGGTTTACATTGGAAAATACATGGTTTTTCTCCAGCAAGTGTACTCAATCTTAGCTCAGAAAGTGTAAGGGTTCAGTTTGTAGACATGGGTTTCTCCCCTAAAGTGGCTAATGGTAGGAAATATCCTGCCAAAATCACTTGATCTTTTATGTGGAATATCTTGTTAATAGCGTCTTGTGCTCATCCTTCTGAGTGCGAGTGGCTGCCTTTTCCACTTCCTGAAGTCCTATGGAGAGTGCCTTTCCACAAGATCCCTTTCCTGTTAGGGTTTTGTTTATGGAGCATTTGGTTTGTAGACTTTACTTTCAGAACAATGTTTTATCCACTGTTTAAAGATGATATATTGGCCTTCTCTAAGACCCAGGGGAAGAGTCTTTCTTTTGTTTTCTGCCATTGTAGCCTTTTATATTGGCATCTCC